CCCCTCTCTGTGTGTGTGTGTGCGTGTGTGTGTGTGTGTGTGTGTGTGTGTGTGTGTGTGTTATATTTCCACCACAACATCCCCTATTCCACCCAGACGAGTAGATTCGAGTTGAGCCAACCCAACAATTAAAGAATTCTGCTTCTTTAGCAAGCAACATAAATCATAATAGAACCATTTAGAACTGTGTTTAGCTGGGGTTTCTTCGGGCCAACAGCTCCTCTTTTACTATGCCTCGCACGTACAAGGCTGCCCACGCTGATGGTGGTTAAGCGGCGGCTGCCCACATCCCCGTGTGCCTTAACAACCCACTTGCGCGTTATAACACGAGGCAGAGTGAAGGGGAAGGTATGCCTCCTGTGCACTTCACTTCAGATCTTCATACGCCTGTTCATTTCACTTCAGATCTTCAGCTTATACTCGGTCTTTGTGTCTGTCGTTCGTCTTCATACTCCTGTTCTTTTTATTTCAGATCTTCAGCTTATACTCGTAAGTGTTTATGCATCTGCATTTCGCATTGTGGCAGTACCGCGGTACAGAAAACCTCCATCTCACCTGCTGGATGTGGGGAGCAAGCTTTGAAAGAGCTTGGCAGTACGGAAGAATGGCCTGCACAAAAGTACTTGAGTGAAATCACAAGTGAGAGACAAAACAACAAAGGCGCGAAGCAGATCCATGTCTTCAACCAGGACTCTCCACACTTATCACAAATTTTCCAGCAAAGCTCAGAAGAAAGATCATGCTTGCTTAAGGACAATTGGCAATGGGTCTGTTACTACAGAACTCGGACATAATTGTCTTAACAAAATTTTCAGAGAGGCATCAGAAGTTACTTCTCTCCTTTCCTCCCATGCCTTCCTTTGCCATTTTTTGGTCTCTCTTTACTTCTTCTGCCATCCTTCCTTTCTTCAATTTCCCCTTTTCAATGTCTACAGCAGTCCTGAACACTGCACCAGACAGGACCACCACCAGACCAGCACCGAGCCAGCACCATCCAGACCAGCACCAGACCAACAATAAACCAGCACCGGACCAGCAACATACCAACAGTGAACCAGCGCCGGACCAGCGCCGGACCAGCATTGGACCAACAGTGAACCAGCACCGGACCAGCACCACACCAG